GTTTATTCTTTCCGAATACAACTTTACGATACACTTATTTTCAACAAGTCGCTCTATAACAAACGCTATATCAACGAACGTGCTCACCTTCAATAATCCTCTCTGACTGCAGATCAGTTACTCACTGTCTACATACACATTACATTACCGTCACGTTGTCACCCTCTTTTATATACCAGACTACCCTATATCTAGTAAATACTAGAGCATTCGCCAAGGTACAGGATAATTCTAGAAAATAGGTGGCGCCACACCAGTCACGTGACCTCGATGACGCAACAATACTAACAAATTCAGTAAAAAATTTAAATTAATTATGTAAAAATAGAAGAAAGCAAGAAAAATATTTAACTTTAAGTGATAACTTTTTTTTTAAGAATCACATTTAGCCCATTTTAAAATGAAATTTATATCCAGTAAGCAGCAGGCCTATGAACTAATGCTATATACCTAATGGTTTACTTGTAAATATAATGAAGTAGTAGCTTGGTTGTCAGACTCAGAGTGAGCTAAATGAACTTCATGCACATAGTTTTAACTATATTATTATCTTAAAGCAACATTTTGAATTAATTCATTAAGAAATTGTTCCATAGAATTTATAATAATCAATAATCCCACATAGAAGCATACTAAATATATATATATTATATATAGGTCATATTTTAATTTAATGTAGATTAGAGAACAGTAGTCCAGAGTATTGACTAGTCTAACAATTAAACTCGTAGAAGCTTAAAGTAACTGTATTTCAGCTGCACTTAAAGATAGCTTTATTTTGAGTGTTCTACGGCATTAAATATTATTATTAATTTTTGTGGAACCTTGAAAAATAGCCTTTAAAGTTCAAGTACAGGTATATTTGATAAATCCAAGACATTGTTCACAGTGGTAATTATTCTAAATTATTTAAGTATGTTATTCTTAGCGAAATATTAAATTGTGTTTTATAAAGTTGTTTCACTGTTAACTGCAAAACGCATACAGTAGTTATGAGTTTTTTATCATTATAAAAGCTGAGATGTTACTTCAGAAGCTACTCAAGATAGTGCTAATTCTTATTTGGTTTGACAGTTTCTTTGGTCTTGTATGAGGATATACACAACACCATTCATGATGTAAGAAAATTATTTGTATTTCAAAAATGTATTAAACATTATCATTGTTTGTGTAATTATTCTAATATTAATAAAACATGCTAACCTTTGTAAGAGGCATTGATTCATGCAAAGAGTGAATAAAATTGTTAAATAGTAAATTCTAGTTTCTTAGATAGTAAGGTACTGTATGTAACAGTGAATGTTGTTTTATGTATTTACAGTATCCTGAGTAATTACTGCATACAGTTAATAATGAAACAATTTTATAAAATATACTTGTAATATCGTATTAAATAATTTGTAATGATACTGATGGTGAACTGTCAGTATATACATATCTACTTCAAAGATGTTTGTCGTAATTCCAGTACAATTTTAAACAAGATTTAATACTGTTTGCAGAAGAGCTAAATACTGTCAGTTATATAAATGATCCATAGTTTAGCTATAGATCATTACGAAAAAGTTAGAAAATGGCATTATCACTAATGCTATGTTCTATTTGTATTATGATTTAATGACACTGTACAGAGATAAGAATAATGTTGTTTTGTTTTCTTTTAATGTTTGAAATTTTTTTTCTGAATGAATGTTAGAACTAGGATGCAAAGTAAAATAAGTTTAGTGATATTAATCTCAGGTACAGTACATAATCAATAGTGGAAGTTTATCTTCTTTTCTTTCTTTACATTTTCACAATTAAAGATATAGTTACTGTGTGCTTATTTTCTAATTGAAATTCTTAGCTTAATAACAAGAGATTCTAACATTCTAAGTTGGACTTATTCATGTGAATGGAGGATGATGAGGAAGAAACTAGAGACAGGCACAGCATCACATTCATTTGGACAGTATGTAGTTGGTAATACTATTGGTGTTGTAGGTTTTAGCATTACAGTGTTCTTTTATTCAACTGCAAAACCTTCTAGTGGTTGATCCATTATATCCCTTGTTGTATCTCGGGATTGTGAACTCGTATACCGCTAGTGAGTTATTCAGTGGATGTTGTGTTGTTAATGTTGAAGAGCTCTTTTAACCTAGAATGTTTTAAAAGACACATTTTAAGTTAACTTGTGAATACAGTTGTTTGGTACTTTTCTTATTTATCATGCTATGAAATAGTGCCTAAGTAAATGACTAAAGTAACATCTCAAATAACAACAGATGGGTATTTGGTTTTTGAGTTTGTATGTGGATTACTCTGTTTAGGAATGACACACAAAAAAACAATTTCTTCTAAGTATTTGTTTAATGTTCTCAGATTCCGCTTCAAAAATGTTTTTATTTCTTGGTATTTTAAATATTCTGTCCAGTAAGGTTTTAACCATTTTCTTTAAAGTTTGAAGAACTGAAACTTTCAAAATATGGATAAAATCTGGTGAAAGTGTGTTTAATACATTTTAGTGGTAAATATACCACTGCTACTACATTTTCAATTATGTAAGTGTAAAGAAGTGTGTGTGTGTGTTTTTGTATAGCAACGCCACATCAGGCTATCTACTGTGTCCACCAAGGGAAATCAAATCCATGATTTTAGCATTGTAAATCCAAAAACTTACCACTGTCCTACTGGGGACAAATTGTAAAGAAAGAACAGAACATGAAGTGGAATACAATTTTTACATAACATAAACTTATTTCTAGATGTTGTTTTGAAAGTATTGATAATTTTCAAGATGGTTTATAAGATGGCTTAGTTGAATAGCTTTTGTTTTGGAGAACTTTGTAGGTAAAAAAGGTTTTTATTTAGTTTTGTATTTAACTAAGATAATAAGATATATATATAGTTGAATAATTGTTTGGTTTAATGGGTTGAATTGAATTTTATCTCTTGTTGTTTATGCTATTTTTTGCAGGAAGGGAATGGCTGCTCCTTGGAAATATAAAACATTCATTGAAACATGGTATGTATCAATTAAGATTATAATGTGTTTCAAATCATACCTTAGCTCATTCCCTTGTTATTTTGTAATAATTTTTATGTAGTTGGTATCATGCATGTGGTGAGAACATGATATGTTATTGTGTAGATATGCAAGGTACTATTACACATACAAATATTTAGTGATATAGCTCTTGAGCCAGGTAATATTTTCCCAAGGCTTTTGAAGGAGGTTAAGGATTGGATATATGAAGCACTTACTACTATTTTCCAAGTCCTTGAACAGTGTGAAGGTGCCAGAAGGTTGGAAATTGGTTAATGTTAATCCTCTTTTCAAAGGTGCTGATAAAAGTTGTTTTGGCAACTATAGGCTTATTAGTCTCACATCAGTGGTAGAAAAAGTATTGTTACGTCTCCGTTTGTTAATTGATTTTTCCGTAACTTCGTTCCGACGAAACTTTATCGACACAAGTCCTTACTTAATAAAACTGGTTTATTCTTTCTGAATATAACTTCTACGATACACTTA